AGTTGACAAAACTTTTAAGACATTGTAATTTATATTGATATATAAAATTCAAATAATCCATTTTTTTACAAAAATCTACAGTGAAAATTTTAAAGAAATTCCTAATCTAACTTAAGTTTTACTCATCCAAAATATGGTCCAGAAAATAGAATAAAATAAAAAGTACTTAAATCTATAATACGTATAATAAAGCCAATTTTAAATTTTTGATTTTTTTTTTTTTTTTTTTTTATAACGTGGAGTTTTTAATTGTAAATTTTTATATAATTAATAATTAATGTTCGAATATAAGTGTTAAACATTGAAATTCTTTTTATCCGCATATTAATAAATTATACTTGAAATCCATAAATAATACGCTTGATTTGCTCCATCTCTGTCTTATTAATTTTAATTCTTTTGAAACGATTCCTTGAAAGTGAAAATTGACCATAAAATGTGAAAAACTAAAGCTGTAACTGGCTTTATAACTATTCCTAAAACTCGATAAACTAGCAAAACTAGTAGTGATGATAAGGTTTGAAATAAAACTTTTAAAGAGTAAAAAACCACTCGTAATAAATATTCTTACATATTTTCGATTTGGTTCTTTGTTTTCTCGTTTCTTTATTTTTTCAATTAACCTGCTTATTTTGCTGTTTAATCTTTCAAATTCGTCTCTTTTACTATTTGTCTCATCTTTTATTTTATTGTTAGTTGTCTCTATCCAATCCTTTCTTAGATTAATAAATTCTAAAATTAATATAACTATCTTAAGTTGTGATTCTTTTATATTCATTTTTAGAATTTTTTCCAGAACCCCTTCTAGAATATTTTCTAGAATATCGATTGTCTCTATTTTTTGATTTAATTTTCACTGAATTATTTATTTCATCTTCATCTATTTCCATATTATCATTATCTATTTCTGTATTACCATTTTTCTTATCTCACGCTGAATGATTTTTGGTCCATACTTTTTTCTAAATCATTTATTAACATTTTCATTTCATTTATCATATTTGATTCACCTTCATTATCTGTTATTGTCATATCGTCATTTTTTTTCTTTTCCTTGTACTATTTTTTCTCTGCTTCTTCTAACAAGAATTTATTTTCCATTTTATTATCCACTTCCATATATATTTCTTTTTGCAATCAATAGAATCATTTATTTTCATCAAAATAGTTTTCATGGATTCTTTACTTTGATTTTCAATTTTCTTTCGTATTTCAACTCCCATTTTGAATGATTTTCTTAATAAGTGGGATTATCTATTTTTGTTATCTTTGTTTTTATATTTTCTATTCCTTCTTTATTTTGTTTTTCAATTTATTTTTAGATTTTATTTCTTTTCTTTTGATTCTCAATGTCAGGCTGCTTTCTAATTGTTACTTTATTTTCAATATATAATTTATATAACTCATCCAATTTATCAAATTTTTTTTCATTAAGAATATTTCTAAGAGATAATACACTTGTTAATAGAGTTACAATACTTCATGTTCCAAAAACCGAAGTCGAAATAGTATCTCTGATTTTTGACTCCATACCATTCGTTTCTAAGATTAAAAGCAAAATACCAATTGCAAGTTAATGGAAATAATTAGCTGAAGGTTGAATAGAGATCGCAGATCTCCAAAGATTTTTAATCTTTTCTTTAGTTTAACAGCGTAATCGGATTGTTTATCGGATTGTTTATCTTAATTATCTTCAGGAGCCTGAGCTAATTTATTATCAGGAAGTTGACTTTGCTTATTTTGATAATCATCAATTGAAGATGATTTTCATTGAGGAGCAATATCTTCATTCGAAGGCTGACTGTCATCGGATTTAATGCTTGACATTTTTTTTTTGAATTTTATTCGTTAGTAAAATGAAAATTAATTATGAAAAAATCACGGTAATAATAAAGTTAAGTAGATTATAAGTTATTGACTTCCCAAAATTGTCGGAACTATAAAAATTATTTAATTAATATTGATTTATTAGAGTCTACATATATGATGTTGCCGGAGTACATAATGCGGCGAAATTAAGATTAATTGTAAGAGCTCGAAAAATTCAGTAATTTCCGATTGAAAAAAAATTCATTAAAGAGGGCAAATATAGATAGTGCAGAGTTCAGTTCAGGTTTTGAAGACCAGCATGATAGATAAAATATAGTGGGAAATAAAATCGCATTTTTTTTTTTAGATGCCGAGAATTTTATTTGACAAAAATAAATCAGCAATCCGACCCGATATTCGAAAATTCAATATGCATATCAATTACCGCCAACTTATTTTTTTA